TATATATATATATCATTGTCAGCTGTAATAACCGCCTACTTGTGGTACAACCATTGGAGCTGCCACAGCTTAGTTCAACGATAATTCGGGAAAGTGAGATAGGTAGCTGCGTATTGGAGGCGGGAACTGATAAATTAGTGCGTAAATACAGCACTGCCAGTGGACTGTTAAGTGGAGGAATTCGGAAAGGAGCTATGCATTGGACGCAATAGCTTGGATGCATGAGCGCCACTGACGGCGCGACTGGGCCATGTCTGACAATGTTTCTAACCGTTCATACGGCCCATTTCGGGGTCCCCAGCTAGGAAAACGGCTATTACCAGCGCAGCTGAGTTTGCTGGTAGTGGCTTTCACACTTCGCTGCCAAGTCATTGTTTGACCGCCTCTGGCTCTCTTCCACCCTTCACGTGGTTGTGCGAAAAGAGCCCTTCGAGGAAGTCGGTCGACTGGCATACGCAGCACGTGGCCAAGCCAGCGCAACCTGTGCAGTGTGATCAGTTCATCTATCGAGGGTGAGTTATTTCTCCCGAATACCATTCGACGTACTTCAGAATTGCTGATCCGGTGTTCCCACCAGATTCGGGCAATGCTCCGAAGACATCGATGGTCAAACACTGAAAGTCTTTTGACGTCCTTGGCGCGCAGCGGCCAGGTTTCTGATCCATATAGTAATATGGAGCGCACCGCAGCATTGTAAACTCGACCCTTGACAGAGAAGCTGATGTCACGCCTACGCCACAGGTGATGCAGGTTCACAAAATCTGCTCCAGACTTCCCAATCTGCATGAAAATATCCTCTTACGCGGGACAAGCGGGACTGATACAGCTGCCCAGGTAAACAAATGTGTCTACTACCTCAATCGGTTCATCCGCAAGCATGAGGCTAGGGCTCGAGCCCACCCAGTCTTGCAGTAGTTATGAAGCGCGTGCCGGAACGTGAGGCAGAATCATTCAGATTATTTAACATTGTTTGCATTACCACGGGGTCAGATCCAAGAAGAGCTATGTCATCTGCGTACTCGATGTATGTGAGCGGACGCCCAGGGAGCGCTTCGACTCCACAGACGTTAGAAGCTGGTGGTGAGTCCTCCATGATCGCATCAATGACGAATTTGGAAAGGAAAGGTGAAACAGGACAGCCCTGTCTGACACCTCTTGATGTGGTGGGCTCAGGTGAGAGCTTCCCGTAGACCTTCACACGGCCGCGGGAGTTGGCGTACAGCGCCTTAAGTAAAGTCAAGAATTTATGGGGTACACCTTTGCACAAAAGACACTGTAATAGTGCCTGACGGTCCACAGAGTCACAGGCAGCTTTCAGATCAAGAAACACGACCATTGTTGGTTGCTGGAAGCAGTGTCGCCGTTCCAGAAGGTATGATCGATGCAACCTTTTGAGGACGGAACCCAGCTTGATTTTCACGGAACCGCCTCTCTCTGTTTTCAGTCAACCCTTAAAGATAAGGCCAAAGAGCACCTTCAACACCACAGCTAACAGGCTGGTACAGAGCGTCCGCGTACTATTTTTGAACAGGGGGATAAATGTCGACATGCACCATTCTGCATGCACCTTCTCTTCCTTCCATATGGTACCAATAAGCTTTTCAGATGGGTCAACATGGGTTTTCTGCCTTCGAAGAAGGCTGGATATAGACCGTCCAGTCCTGGTGCCTTCTCACGTTTCAGTACGGCTATTTCGTACCTTATTTCTTCTTTCGAAGGGCGACCAAGGTTTACATTTTATTTGCTGTATGCACTATCTCCACAGGCTGTGTTGCAGGAGGCCAACTTAACTGTTCTTCGAAGTGCTCGGCCCATCTCTCCAGTCGACGTTTTTGCGAGTGAATTAATGAGCACTTATCGTTTCAATGATCGCTGTATTCCTAGGGCCAGTCGATCGGATCAGTTGATATAGAGTACGGCCGTTTCCGGTAGCAAAAGCCTTCTCCATCTCCCGAGCTTTCAATGTCCACCAGAGCTTTCGGTCTTTCCTTAGGTTTTTTAATATTTGACGTTTTAGGGATTCGCGTGCGCCTGAGTACTTGTAGCCTGTTGGTATGGACTTCCTGGCATCAATCATGGATAGCGATCTCGACGACTTCCAGTGATCTTGTGGTCGAACTATAGAAGTTGGACAGACAGCACTGAACGCTGCTAACATAGCTCCGTTCACTTTCGCCACGCTCCATCCACCTGCTCGTTACCAACAGAGTATTGGTATACTGTGAAGTGTTGTTGGGCTAGCTCAGATTGGTACTGTTGAGCTATGGTAGTTCTTCGAAGACAGTGGATTGGCATGCTTATTGCTGGCTTGCGGGGGCCTAAAGGGGAACGAACTGTCAGGCGTGCACGCACCAAGGAGTGATCAGATTCAAGTGGTGTGCCCCAGAAGGAACGGCAGTCTTGAATTGTGGCTCTCCACCGATGGCTGATGGTGTTAATGCTCTACTAGAACCCGAAAATTAGTTATACGAACGAGAAAACGGGGAGCACTAACAATATCAGCTTGTTGAATGAAATTATTGCAACAGGTATATATGCGAACAAGAGAATTATCGTATTGCAGATGCAGGTTGATAGATACTGTTGCAAGTCCGGATGCAGGTTTCGTGTCTTCGTCGCTGTTGTAGCAGCCACACGTATTCCTGAGTATCCGTGATTGAAGCGCCGTAAGTCCTGAGCGGCTCTGCTCCGAGTTGGGCGACGTGCGTAGCTCTGTTGGGTTGTGTTGTGTTGCTGTGCTGTGCTGTCATCCTATATGTAGGAAGGTTTGCATGTGTGTGGGTGTCATGTGGCTACCGTATTAGACGGTAGACAGTCGATATCGGATGAGTCACCCTTGTGTATCGTGGTTTGTACGTGTAGAGAAAAAACGAGGTCTTGGGATCTAGGGCTTGACTGTGAGCTGTGTAGTCAAGTGAGTAACGATTCTGTGGCGTGATTTGTGAGCGTGATCCAGCGAGTATCGGTGACCTGTACAGTCATGCATGTGGCGAAAGGGTGGCTACAATGGCCACGTGATCCAACTGGGTCCACCATTGATTTGCAGTTGGTGGCCACCAGGTTAGGCGGTGCGAACGTTTATAATGAAAGTTCGTACTTGCCAGAAACAGTTCATGATCAGCAAAGAACTGAAGGAGTCGATCTCCGTTGTCTGTGCGGCGAGCCTGTTTGCCAATTTGATATAGAGTACGGATGTTAAAAGGTCCTAGCTAGAGAGGATCTCGTGGATTTAGAAGTGTTACTTTGTTTATTGTTTGTAACCAGAGAGCAGCATAAGGCCCTTTGGTCAGATAACTGGCAGTCAAATGGACCAGTGACGTTTGTTTGTGTGGTGAGAAGGGGTTGAAGGACATCGGTGGACACCAAACTGCGCGGGCAAACGACACTTCCCAGTTAACCGGGTCGAGGAGGTGGGGTTAGTTGAGGTATCCACCTTGAATTCTTGACTCAAAAGTCTGACCCACGTGTCACTTTTCTGTCGATCGCCTGTTGCTCGGAGCATTAAATTTGTGTTCAAGGTTTTTTCTTCTTACTATTCCGATGTACTGGGGGTCGGGATCAGGCAACATAGCTGGGGATATAATATCGTCACAGTCCGCTCACAGTATCGCTTGCTCGCTGCGTTACCGAAACGTGTTTCTCCCAGGCGACCAGCAGACTCATATTCATGGAAGCACCGACGATACCCTCCCTCGAGGAAGGATGGGTTACAAAATCGGACATTCCGATACCCAAACGGCTGGCTGTGAACTCCGGGGCATTATTCAATAGGCTCGAAATACTTTTAAAACCAAAGGGCCTGGTGCTACTGCCATGCGGAGCCGCGTCAGGAATGTGACAGTAATGCCTTACGCCCGGCGCCCTCGAGTTAAACCAACCCCCTGCAGCCTAGAAGGTCAGACTACTGGATAAACGGCTCACGGAAGGGTCCACAAAGAAAACCCCACTGTCGGCTGCCTCGCGAGTTAGAGTTTTGATTCATGGGCAAGTGGCAGGTTCCGAACAAAACTCTACATCCTGTGAACGAGTCCCACAAGCGGCAAGTTGATAGATGTGTGTTTATCGTGTCTGTCTGCGCTCCAACTAACTGTAGATCCGACGCCGTCAAAGACAGGTTTTACGACCCCTGTTATTCTCTATGGAGCTGACCTAAAAGCTCAGATATCGTAGTGTTTGTTGGAGACATGAATACACAAGTGGACAGGCTAAGTGTATCTGAGACTCAATTAGGAGGTCGACATGGATTGGGCTCGGTACGTACGGATAATCGTAAACGATTGCACCACATGTATGGTGTTCGCAGGCTGTTTTTCTGCAGTACTAACTTCCGAAACAGCCAAAGTCGTCTGGCCACATTGAGCACCCCAACAGCATGCTGGCCACAAACTCAAATCGACCACATTGCCGTCAGTTACCGATGGCGTGGATCAATAACTGACAGCCGGTCGATTTGGAACACATTTGTGGACTCTGACCACGCGCTCATCAGGAGTCGCTCCCCCTACGTTTTTCGGGGCTGCGAAAGGTTGACACAAATCGCTTGACAACTGAGAGACTGGCAGATCATCAATCATCAGTCAATCATCAATCATCATCATCGACAGCATGACACCAGTGTTCAACACTGATGCTTCGCAGCCGTACAGATCCGGATGTTTGACGAATTCGCCAGAATCATCTTCTAGAGTCTCTCACAAATGTTCCATCACCAGATGTGAATTCATATTGAGAGGAGATCGCCGCCTCTTTGCACAGTGCCGGCGGTTTTGCTTGTGGCGTAACGCTGCTAGGCTCGTCCAAGCACCGAATATCAAACCGAACAGTCGCACTACTTGAATCTCGGAGGAGTATCCCAGCAGGTGCCGAACTTAACTAGATGCAACGAATTATCAGACGTCCAGTGAAATTGAGCGTGAGCCGAACGTGAAGTGTGGTGGACACCGAAAGCCAGGGAAATGGAAGAGGCCCAGAAAGCCGGTTTATTTCAGTGAGCGTGAGCCGAACGTGAAGTGTGGTGGACACCGAAAGCCAGGGAAATGGAAGAGGCCCAGAAAGCCGGTAATATTATTTCAGTTGATCCGTGAGACCGTTTCCAAGAAACAACCCGTGAGAGAAAACATCAAGGATGGGAAAACAGTGACCAGTTTGAATAAATAACGCCTCAAACGGTGGGCCGAATAATTCGAATAGCAACTGTCGTGGACACTCACTGGCACTCATCTGGAGCACACAGTCGACGTAGAAGCCTGAGGGTCAAGGTGAAACCACGTATGGCCTCGGAGGTTTCAGACTGCACAGGTTCTCGCAAGCACCACCAAGCTTCTGGTCCGGATAACCTCTAAACCGCGTTGTTTAACGATGGGGATGAAGTCCCTAGTCAGCGCTTGTCTGATCTGTTTGTCTGCATTTGGCATAAGGAATGTGTCCCAGACAACGGGAGAGAGTCTGTTATAGTGCTCATTTCCAAAAAAGGAGCTCGTGGTAAGTGTGGTAACCACAGGGGGATCAGCTTGATTCAGGCTTCAACGAGTCTGTTGGCGTCACTTATGCCTCGTCGCCTTACGGCGGGCTCGTGGAACACTGACTGAAGAAAAGCAAACGGGATTCCGGCCTGTTAGGGGTTGCATTGACCAAATCTTCACAATCCATCGGGTGCTAGAACATCATCCTCATCATCATCATCGTCATCAAAGACAGCAACATCAGTGTTGGCACTGATGCTTCGCTGCCGTACAACCATAAGGTTCGTCTAGTTATATATATATATATATA